CAAAAACCCGTCAAGCGGGTTTGGCCAAAATATTGTGTCTTGTTGCCCGTGCAAGTTCACGCACTGCTCACTTCTGTCTCCCTCGAGTGGGGAGCGCTCAGCTCCTGAGGTCGCGGAGGTCGCTGCCGCGGGGGGCCATGTGAGTGAGTACCCAGGGACCCCAAGGCGGGCAGCTCCAACAACGGGGGTAGATGAGGGGCGCGAAGGCGGGTTGGGGGGAAGTGCTGGCTGTGAAGGCGGGAGCCCCAGCCCCTGCGGGCTGAGCGGGAGGCAGGGGTCAGCAGACCAGCCGAGAGGCGAGAGGCGCAGCCCCCTGCCCCGGGACACCCCTTCTGAGGGGGAAGGAGGCTCAGTGAGTTTCCTGGGCAGAGGGTCAGGGTGCAGAGAGGCAGTGCCGGGCCTGACACCGCCACACCAGGAAGTCGTCGTCTGGTGTGGCTCCAGGGGACACCGGGGATGGGCCGGTGGCCAGGCCCTCCATCTGGACCTGCCCTGTGGCCAAGACCCTCACAGGGCAAAGGGGGGCAGCCATGGGGGTGGGGGGTACACGGCGCAGCCCCCTCTGACTCTGTGCTGGGCACCAGGGACCCTCCGCTGCCCCTGGCTCCATGTCCCCTGAAAGGTAGTGACGTTCAGGGACGTAGGTCCCGCTCAACCTCCCCTGGCCAGGCCTCGGGGTGGGAGCCAGCGAGGACGAGGACGCAGCCACCAAGGGCCAGCCCATCCCCAGGGAATCGGGTTGCAGGGCCCGCTGTTACCCGAGCCGCCAAGCAAGCGCACACCTGCCTTTCTCCTCTGTGCATGTGCGCACGTGTACGTGGGATTCACAACCACACGGGCATTTGCGCGTGTGTGCACATGCGTCTGCGCCTGTCCCTGGGCCTGTGCGGGGCTGAGTGTGTGGCAGGGGGAGTGACCAAGGATGGCACACGTGTGTGTGGCATCTGTGTGGTGGGTGCAGGCCAGTGTGTGCTATGACATTGTGAGGACACTGTTGCCTCCCTGGATGTGTGTGGGCGTCACACATGCGTGCGCGTGTGTCATCGGTCTAAGTGTCTGGCCGTATTGGAAACCACCCCAGCGGTGATACCTGCCTGCACGTGAACTGGCCTAGAGTTGCTAGGAGGCCTAGGCTTCAGGTACTGCCCTGGCTGTGTCCCTGGCAAGCTGGTGGCCACAGAAAGCTGATGTCGCTCTGAGCCTCGACTCCCTCATCTGTGAAATAGGGTTGTCATAGTTGCTTCTCGGTGACTGTGAGATCCAGGGAGAGGTGCCATGCCGTGCACTCATGGGTGCCCAGCAGCCAGGGCTCCCAGGCTGGCCCCTGACCCCCAGCCGGCCCGCCCACGTGCAAGGAGTCCTGACAGCCCCAGGAGGCACGGACACTTGTGCCTCCGAGAGCCCAGGTCAGGATCCACCTCCACCATCTGTTTGAGGGACAGGGACACTGAGGCACAGCCAGGCACGTGATTTGGCCAAAGTTGTGGTGGACGTGTGACCCATCACCACAGAGGCCCCCAAAGAGGGTAGAGGGAGACCCTTGACCAGCCCCAACAAGGGGAGCTGGCCGGAGGGTGACGAGCCCTGCTCTCACGGCCACACACTTGGACACCAGAAGAGTCGGGGGCTGGGCTGGCCTGGGAGCAGGGCAAGAACCCGCCTAACTATGGGATTGCCACTCAGCCTGATGGTCCCCAGTCCAGCTCCGCAGCTGGAGCCTGCACACCCTCTTCTGTGCACAGGGGCTGGAGGACACGTTCTCCTGGACATGGTCACCCAGACTCAGTGGACCCAAAGTGTCCGCACAGTAAGCAGCTGTCCGAAGATGCAAGGGTGTGCCTGTTGGAATCTGAGAGCTCCCCCCTGAACTGGGGGGGTGGGGGATCTTGTCCCCTAGCAAAGGCCCTTTGCAGCTAGGGACTCATGCTTGTCCGAGAGAGGAGGCACTCCCAGAAACAGCACTGCGAGCCACCCGGGGGCCACGTGAGAGGGTGGCGCTCGTGGACGGACCGCAGGCAGTAGACACGGGGGTCTCCAGCTGCACATAGCCGAGCACTTGACCTGCCGGGCTCCTGGCAGGGATGCGCTATCTGGACATGTGTTACCTGGCCAGGTGTCACCTGGACACGCATCACCTGATAATAAAAGGAGTCGTATAACAAGCTGCTGGGTGGGGGGGGCGGATTACCCCCCTGTGAGGACACGGAGGCCCAGACAGGTGAACGATTTGCCCAGGTGACACCGAGGATAGAGGCAGGACAGGGACCAACACCCGGGCTGTCAGCTGGGACATCCACAGCTTCAGCCTTGTGCCCAGTGCAGATGGGAGATGTGAAGGGTCATGGATATGGCTGAGCCACCCGTCCTTCCTACCACCTGCACCCTCCAGGGGCTCAGCCCTAGCAGAGACCTTCCAGTCTGAGCATCCAGGGCAGGAGAGGTGGGGTACACCTGGGCCTGTCTGGGGGTCCTAAGGAGCAGAGTTCGGGCCTCTCTCCACATCTGCCCCTTAGCCCCGCAGGCCCAGAGGTAGCAGCCTCACTCCTGATGCCCGCAGGGGGCTCCCCCAACCCAGCCCCACTGCAAACTCCCCAAGCCCACTGGACCTCGGCTTCCCGGAATCCCTAGAGCCCCACAGCTACTCTCAGCGTGCCCAGCAAACATAGAGCCGCCGACCGGGAAGACCTGGGTGCAGAGCCCCTGCAGGAGGCCATTGGGGCTACCACAGCCTCCGCTCTTCCCCCCACAGCTCACCCCAGCTTTCTTCCCCAAAGCCCCGAAGGCTGAGGCTACGGACTTCAACCCCCTCTCAGCCTCCCTCCACCTCCTGTCCCTTCCTTGGATCCTCCCCACATTACAGGAGAGTGAAGGCTGGGACAGATGCTGCCCCAGAAACTGTCTGCTTTGCCTCGGCCAATGCGTCTCTGTCACCGGCCCACCGTCACAGCGTCCCCGGGCACTCTCACCTGCGGGTCGCTTGGCTCTGGGCCCCCCAGGAGGCAAGGGGCTTCCCACATGTCTCGCCCCTTCCAGCTCTGCTTCCAGCCACTGGCACATCCTGTATCCATGCTGTCCCTGCTGTCCCCCCACTCAGTGTGTCCCTGCCCCAGAGAGCGGAGAGCATCTCCTCCTGTCTTTCAGACACCCGAGAGGAGGAACCAGGTGGGGCCAGAGGGAGCTTCGGGTGCAGGAGCCTGGGGATGGGGGACGGAGCCCACCAGCCCGGCCTGCGCACGCTAGAGTTGTCACAGGGGATGGAGCCCACCTCCCGCTCCTACTCTGAGCCCACACAGGCCTCTCCCAGTCCTTCAGGCCCCATTGGCTCCCTTGGGCGGCTCCTTTACAGGCTGGGGGAGAGCTGCCTGTCTGGCGGGTTGGGGTGGAATTTCCAGCGGTGTGGCTCAGGCCCTACCCAGACCTCCTCGCTCTACCTGCCGCGGCCTGAGCCTCCACTCACTGCCTTAGCTCCCGGGGGCTCTGCTGCAAGGTAAACATGGCGACAGCCAGCACGGCCGGGCACTGGGGGGACTCGACCCTGGTCCGCACAAACCCCAGCGTGAGTTCAAACCCCGGTTCCCGTGAACACGGCACTACCTCCTTGGGCCTCGGTTCCCCACTGGGAGAGCGGGCTCCCCACTGCCCGGCCAGGGTTAGACAGACCGGCCGTAAAGGATGTGACAGTCTGTGTCGCACTTGGGAATGGGGCCGGGACTACCATTTATACCCACCTGAGCACTGGTCCCTCCCAAGCCCTAAAAGGCTGGGTCTGGTCTCCTAACCTGCAAGGGTGTCCCCCATCAGGTGAGCATTTGCTCCCAGCAGGACACTCCCAACCCCTCACCATTCAGCACACAGCCGCCCAGCAGCCTCCCCCATGCCCCTGGCCATCCCTTGGGAGTGGCCCAGGGCCTGGGCAGGTCCTCAGAACAAGTTCAGAAGCCCCACCTTCCCACCACACCCCAGCCAGCCCTGCTCAGCGGGCTCCCACAGCCCCTGCAGGACACGGGACCTCACTCTGTCCTCCTGCCGATGCTTCCCAGGGCTCTGACGTCTGACCTCAGGTGCACAGAGCCTGCCGAGAGCCAGACTCCACGGTCCAGGCTCCCTTGGGCAGCTTCAGAAGCCCTGCAGGCTCCAGGAGAACACATGGGGGCTGCTCCCCTCAGTCAGGGATGCCCCCCAATTCCCACGCCCAGAGTGGCCACTGCCCCAGCTCCCGAGAGCCCAGAGCATCACAACTCTGCCATGTTTTGTGTGCATGGATCCCACATCAGGCCGCTCCCGTGGCTGGGGATCACCACGTGCTAGCCCCTGGGGCGGGGAGCGGTCATTCCTCCCAGCAGAGGCCACTAGCAGGGGCATGTGGGGGCTCCTAGTTTGGGGCTGTTCCTCAGGGGGCTGCTGCGAACCCTCGTGTGCTTGTCTTCAGTGCAAACTGAAATTCAAATGGGGCCGCGTTCCTCTGGGCAGCCGCAGCTGGCTGCCCGTGTGTCCTCACGAAGCGGGGTGGCTTGGGCCCCAGCGGGCATGGCAAGAGAGGGAAAGGAGAGGTCTGGGTGGACGTAGGAGGCCAGCCAGCAGTCGCTGCTGACCGGTAGGGGTGGGATGCCAGCAGGCAAGGGGCTGGGAAGGCCAAGAGCTCAGCCAGCCGCCTGTTGGCAGGACCCAGCAGATCCCAGGGCTCCTCAAGCCGAGGACCAAGAGGGGCCACTTCCCGTGGCGTGGTAGTGACACCTGGAGAGGGAGACAGTAGGCTCTGGCCCCAGGTGGGCCAGGACAAGCCCCACTCTGCTCTCCGAAAGACACAGAGCATGGGCCCCTCCCCTGCACAGCACCAGCCCAACACTGGGGACGGCGGGCTTCAGCTCAGCCCTTCCCAAGCCAGCATGACCTCTCCCCACTTCCTCCTCTCCAGGCTGGGAACAGAGGGGCAGTAGAGGCCCAGAGGTCGTCGCTGTACCCTGAGCACAGAGGGGTCTGGGCCAGAGCCGTGGGGAGCCATGGAGAGCTTCACAGAGTCACTAAACAGGCTGAAAGAGGTCCACGAGAACGAGGTCCGAGGTGAGTATCATGGGGCAGGTGTCCGTGGCCCTCACCTGGTCTGGCCACTCCTACGGGTCACCTCCAATTCTTGCCAGACCTGGGGACCGCACCTTCCAGGCCCGGACAAGGCGTCCTAACCCAGAGCCCAGAGCTGCCACATAGCAGGCCCCCAGCCTCCGATCAGCCTCCCTGAGTGCCTGAGTGTGGCCCTGGAGTGTCTTCTCCCAAGGGGTCTGCTGACAGCGCAGCAGGAGGAAAAAGCCGCACCCCCAGTGGAGAGCCAGAAGCTTGGCTGAGATGGGGTCCCGCTCAGGAGGGCAGGGGCGCTCTGCGTCCCGCAGAAGCATGGTCGCCCACCTCTAGGACTGGGAGTTCATGGCTCTGGAACCTGTCCAGAATGTTCCAGGGTTTGGAGCTGAAATTCCTCTGCTTCCCTGCAGGACCCCCAAGCCAGCTCTGCCGTAGCCCACACACTGCGCAGTCCACCCCTAACCACAGGGCTGGAGCCACCCCACTCGGCTCACTCGAGGACCAGCCAGACCCTCCCAAGACCTTTTCCCAGCAGCAAGTGACACACCACCCTGAGGGCCCAAGGGCCTGGATCTCTTCCCCAGCAACCTGGCGACGCTGGGGGTGTGCGGGCTCGCGGGCCCAAGTCCCACTGCAGCCGGGTGGCAAAGGGACAACCCTCGCTGGGGTCTCCCCAAGAGCCTGCTTTATTTCAACACTGGCTGTGCCCCCCAAAAAACACTCCTCTGGGACTTGGCCCGGTGGCTGGTCACTCCTAGCCAGAGTCAGGGTCCTTCCCAATCTCCAGGTAGACACCAGAGTCAGAGACCCCAAGGGGTCCCAGGCAGCCGTGAGACGGTGGGAGCAGCCAGCCGGCGCGGAGCAGGAGCCCCCCGGGGCGGCAGCCTTGGGGCATCAGTGACGGGTCCAAGCAGGCAGCAGGAGGTCTACGGAGAGCCCCACCTGACAGCCAGGGACAGGAGGTACCCCGGGCTCTGCTGCGTGACCGGGCCTGACCTCCCACTCCTTTCCTTGCTCCTCCAGGTCTGCAGAATAAGCTTCTGGAGCTGGACTCGGAGAGATGCCGGTGAGTCCAGACAGACCCTGGCCTGGCGGGAAACTGATGAGAAAGACAGTGGCCATGGCCCAGGGCGCTAACCCTGCCCTCAGCCAGTGATGCAGAAGGGGAAACTGAGGCTCAGCGTGGCGGGTGGGGGCGGGTCTCTGGCCCGAGACCAAGCCTCCAGGAGCAGGTGGACCCCGGCCCAGAATCTCTAAGCCCACCTGAGTGAATGGGGACCCTCCGGTGGGTGGGCAAGCCGCACCACCCACGGGGACCCTGTGGGTCCCCCTCCATCCCCATTTCACATATGGGCTGCCGTTCCCTAGCGGTGCGAATGGCGCGTGGACCCGGCCTGTTAAACGCTCATGTCTGGGCTGCTGGGTTCCGCACGGTGCTTGTGAGGAAACGTCCATGGACGGCGCAGCCAGCAGGGTCTGGGCTGGGACCTGCCCCTGGCGGGCGAGGCCGGCCTGGACGCAGTGCGGGGCTCCCGAGCAGAGCAGAAGACCCCCTGGGCTCCCCCCACAGGGACGCACAGCGGGTGGAGGAGCTCTGCGCCAAGAACCACCAGCTGCGGGAGCAGCAGAAGGCACTGAAGGAGAACGTGCGAGTGCTAGAGAACAGGTGAGCCCTGGGCAGGGCTGGGGCGGCAGGGGGAAGGCGGAGCTCGGGAAGCTTTGGGGCAAAGTCAACCCGGCAGGGGTCTCCTGTGCGACCTCAGAGCCCAGCTCTGCCATTTGGGAACGGCGAGGGCACCTCTCGGGAGCACCCCCTCCGTGGGCCTCCGTCTCCTTCCTCAGAGCGGCCTCTTCCGCTCCCCCCGCAGGCTTCGGGCTGGCCTGTGTGACCGCTGCATGGTCACCCAGGAGCTGGCCAGGAAAAAGCAGCAGGAGTTCGAAACCTCCCTCCTCCAGAGCCTGCAGCACGTCTTCATCCTCAGTGAGCCCCACCCCCTGTCACCCTGCTCCTCGGTGTCCCCTGTGGGGGTCCAGTGACCCCCAGGGCCTGCTCAGCCTGACCTGGGGTCTCAGGGAAACACACAATGGTACAAAGCCCCAGCATGTCCCTCAGCGGCCGGTCACCCAGGCTGGGGGTCCCCCTGCCCCCAGGACCTCAGCCCGTCCTCCCTATAACAAGAGTGCCCCACAGAGCCCGAGGTCCCACCTGCCGACGAGGAGCACAGCCCCCTTGCCCTTGGGGGACACCCCAGAGACAAGCTTGGTGCCAGGGGATGGGGGGAGGGTGGGAGGGGCTCCAGGCCGCCGGCTCAGCAGCTTCACCCATCCACTCACGGAAGCCCCGGGCCAAGGGCTGGTGGCACAATGGGGCACAGGTCATGGAGGGGGACCTCCCTGCCCCTGCCTGGCCGCCCCTCCCCTCGTCCTTCACTGATCAGCGTCTTTTGCAGCCAACGAGTTGAATCGGCTGCAGGGGGAGAACGAGACATTGAAGGAGGAGGTGAAGCGGCTTCAAGGCCCACGGTGAGTGGGAGGGAGGCACCCTCAGGCCCCAAGGCCCTCCCCAAGGCAGGCCCCCAGCACAGGGTGCAGAGAAGAGGGCGCAGAACCCTGGGGGTGGGGGTCCCCCCCCAAGACTGCGCTGGGGACACTGGTATTTGAGAGAAGCCGGCCTGGCTACGCCAGCCACTGGGAGTGGAGCTCCAGGCAGTGTCCAGAGAGGGCTCTTTCCCGGTCCCCTGAGTGTCCCCGCAGGGGTGGCCTGGCCCCCAGGAGGGTGCCCTGGTCTTTCTGATCATCTCTGGGAGCGCTGCTCTCACTCACCCTCCCTGTCTTTGCCTCCCCTCTGGAGTCAGGCTCAAGTCCCAATGCAGGGAGGGTGCCTCAGACCCCCCCTCACCCCTACTACTCCCCTCCCCGGGCACTTGGAAGGCCATCAAGGAGAAGACGCTGGGAGGCCACGAGGAGGCCCAGGATGACCATCCAGGTGCGAGTCCCCAGAGACAAGGTGCTCTGAGGGACAAGAGACCAGAAAGCTGGACCCTGCAAGATCGCGGAGCCCTCGGGGTTGGGGGGGCTGCGCCGCCCACCCGTTTGAGGGCCTCCCAATCTGGCCTGCCCACCACCTCTCCTCCCACAGAAAAGTCTACAGGGTACAGGACATCTCCAGTAGCCAAAATCTCCCCGAGTGCCAACCTGCCTGAGACTCGGGCCCCGGACATGGTGAGGACTCCTTTCTGCCGGGCAGCCCCAGTCTGTGCCAGTCCAGCTGTCTGTCCTCTGTGCCACGCAGGGACCCCTGGGTGGAGGCGAGGCTCAGAGGGGGTGCCTGCACACAGAGAATAAGGGCAGAGGGCAGTGCTGACCCATCTACCCCGTGCAGAGCCCCCAGCGAATCTCCAACCAGCTTCATGGGACCATTGCTGTGGTGCGGCCGGGCTCTCAGGCCTGCTCCACTGATCAGGGCTCCACCAACGGGACCCCCCCGCTGCCACTGACCAGGAGCAGCCTGCCCAGCCCACCCTATGAGCACAGCCTCCCTCTGGACAGGTGAGACCCTGCCCACCACCCCCACCAGGAGCAGCCCCAGCTGAGCACCCGTCTAGGGATCTGGTCCCACCTTTCCAGAGGTGGCGGGACAGGACTGGGGGACGGGGTGTGGGAGCAGCCACGGGGGACTGAGGCCTGGGAACCCCTCTCAGACGTAAAGTCAGACCATCCTTCCTGTCTGAGAACATCGTCCACAGGTGGGCTGGGGACAGCCGGTAGCCCAGGTCCCGAAGAGAGAAAGATCTTCATGGGCGGGTCCCTCCTCAGACCCCAGGCCCCAGGTCGCCTCTGGCCCCTCCACCACCATCTACGCGGGCCCACCCCCCTCCGTCACCCACCCTGGGACCTGGGACCACTCGCCTGTGACATGGGGGCTAACCCCGGGGCCGTGGTGACGGGGCTTCTCCTCCCCCACAGCTTTCTGCCAGCCTCCCGGGCCCCCATCGTAGCCTATGAGTCCCTGAAGCGCTGCCTCCAGGCTGACCACCTCTTCCTCCTGAACCACCACCTGTCTCTGCACCTTCAGAGCCCGCCCTGCAGCCCCCAAGCACCCCCCACGGCCCCCCGTGGCCCCCGCCCCCAGGGCCTGAAGGCTGGGGAGGCAGAGGCCTGGGAGGAGTCAGCGGGCCTACTGGGGCTGCCCGGGGCCCTGGTGGATGTGCGGGACCCTCGGCTGGAAGGGGCACTGCACCTGCTCCTCTCCCAGCAGCTGCGGGCACAGGGGCAGAGGGGCAGCACCCGGCTGAGGGGCCTAACCACGCCAGGGGGGACCCCACCCTCCCCACCAGTCAGCTCCGACTCGGAAGGCCCCCAGGGCGAGGCAGCGGGGGCAGCCCCGTCTGGAGGGGGACACGCACAGCCCACAGGCCCAGGCAGCCCCAGGGGACAGGAAGCCCCAGCCACACGAGACCATGTCCCAGACAAGCCCCTGGACCTTTCAGAGCGGGGCCGGGGCCGGGATGCCCCAAAGCCTCCTGACCGGCAGGGCTCTCCTAGCCCCCCAAGTGCCCACACTCCCAGCCCGGAACCATCCCGGGGAGCAGAGCCCCCTGCCCAGTCTGGACCCTGGGAACTCAGCAATGGCACAAAGGGGGCCAGAGCTCCAGAGTCAGAAGAGCCCCCCACCCCTGCGGTAAGGGCCTCCCCGCTCTTGGCTTCCACAGACCCCCTGTCCAGGCCAGCATCCCGCCAGGGCCCCCCTGGGGGAAAGCCTGACTGCCTGATTCGTGCTAGAGGGGAGATGGCTAACCCTCCAGCAGCAGCCCCGGGCACAGCCCCAGTCTCACAGGCCTTCCCAACACTGGACTGGGGGCAGGGCAGCTGCCACAGATGAATTCAAGCCGCTTACTTGCTTCCCCCCAGGATCCCTCCCAGCCTCTAACAGGGCACCACCGAAACACGCCCTCTCCAAGCGGGACAGGAGTGGAGCTGAAAGGGAGGCCAAAACCTCCTCCCCACCCACACGGGCCTGATGCCGATGGTCCCCCTGGCAAGGGTGAGTCCCCGGAGTCCTGAGACTCCAGGAAGTGGTGCCATAGTGGGAAGCGAGGGGTGGTGGTCAGCTTCAGCTGGGTGGGACCTGTCCTAGGGCCCAGCTCAGTCCCCGGGGCTGCCTGGCCAAACCCTGGGTCTAGGGCTTGGCACCCCAGCTGCAGACCAGCGAAGAAGCAGGGGCCCAGGGCAGGCACATCTCTGACCGCAGACAGGGAAGGGAAGAGCATCATAGCAATTCGGGCTTTAGGACAGGTAGTGAGCTCCCTGTCACAGAGAGACCAAGCCTAGGGACAGCTCAGATGACGGGGCCACTGCGGAGGGTGCAGGAGAAGCTGGCCGGTCCTGCAGTCCCTCTCTGCTGCAGTTTCCTTCAGTGGTCACTCTTAGTCTGGCCTGCCAGAAAGGTCTCTGCTTCTGCCCGGCTCCAGGGCCTCCAGCCTGGCCTGACCCACACCCTGCATCCCACAGAGCTCAGCAAGGCCGGAGTGCAGGGGCTGGAGTCAGACGACCTGGACGCGTCAGAGCCCTCGGACAATGAGGTGGGTCCCCCGCCACACATCCGGTGGGGCCACTGAGCCAGGGCTGCCCCAGGCTTGGGGGAAGGTCCTCTCCTGACCACACCGCCACACCCCTCAGGTGGGCCTGAGCTCCGAGGTGGGGGCCAAGCCGAGCACGCCAGGGGAGGGGCCCAGGTGCTCCTACACCAAGGAGCTCGGGCAAAGCCTGCCGCAGAAGAGGAAACGGGCCTCGGGCCCATGGTGCAAAGGTATGGCGGCCGGGGCCATGGGGGGCGGGGGGCAGCCACAGCACCTTGCCCGCACCCCACCTTTCTGGCTGCTAGGAACCAGAAACTAGTCCTTGAACCTCTCCTAGCGCAGGCCCCTTAGGAGAGGGGACCCAGGTCAGGACAGCACGAATCCGGGCTCTCCTCAGGTCACTGTGCAGCCCGAGCCAGTCTCGTCAGCCTGAGCCTCAGTTTCCCCCCAGACAGGGGGGTCGATGCCAGAGCTAGTGTGAGATTTCAGCAGGATAAGGCTGAGGACCATGGTTCCCACCGTCTTTGTTATCAGGGTAGAGGGGGTCTCCTGGGCCACAAGCAGACCCCAGGCCTGGGGTCCTAAAGCCCTCCGGTCTCCCCATCCCTCACTGGAGGGGATACTCCCAGGCCCTCCTGCCCACCTTCAAAGAGGAGTAGCACAGAGGCTGCAGCCCTCTGGGTGCGGAGGTTTTTGCTCGGGCTGAGGCCCTGGGGGCCCTCGAATGTTTGCCAAGGCTGGTGCCTGGGGGCTCCTCCCCGGAGGCAACAGGAGCAGCAGGCCGGCCTGAGGGCGTCAGCACGACCTTCCCCTTCCTGCTCTGGCCGCAGAGGCAGCTCAGTGGGGCCGCTGTTTGTGCAAGCCGCCCTCGATAGGCAGGCGGGCTGTGGCCGCCACAGCCGGGAAAAGGGACAGTGGCCTGTGTTTGCGGGCGCACATGTGGGGGAGGCCAGCACACCTGTCTGATTTCAAGCCACTTCCCGCTGGGCATGTTGGGGCGCTGTCCTGGCGGCGAGAGTCCACGGGGTGTCGAGGCATCGACCTCACCCTCCACTCGGGACCAAGCCTTCTCTGGCCCTAGTCCTCCCCGCTGGGCCAAGAGGGGGGCCACCAAGCAGGAACCCGAACCCTGCCGCACACACACTGCTGGTCAGTGAGAACAGGGCCCTGACCCACCCGGGCTGGCATCGCTCAGCGCCAAGGGCAGCGTCTGTGCCGGGGTTCAAGGTGGCAAATGTAACCACTATCTTTGGAGCTCACCGCCTGCCCAGGGCTGGTCATCGCTGTTTCACAGATGGGAAAACTAGCCCTCAGAGAAGTGAGATGGCCTGCCCAAGGTCACAGAGCTGGCACGTGAGGTCAGGATTCCAACTGGACTCATCCGACCCAGAACTTGAGCTCGTTCTGCACCAGAGATGGGCCTAATGCCCAGCATCTCTGCAGGACCTGGCAATAAGGTCCCAAGGACAGACAGCCCTCTCCTGTACCCCAGGTCCATGGAGGCACCCACCAGTGCCGTGGGCACCCTAGGAGCACTTCCCCAGAAGTTCGATTTATCCAGAAGGTCCCAGACCTTCAGCAAGGCATCCAGGCACTGAGGCCCGATGGGCTTCAGGGTCACACACCTGCAGAGAGCACCCCCCCACACAAGTTGCCCACGCTCACCCTCCAATCCGACCAGTTCTGCCCCAGTGTCTGTTGCTTCCAGGAACAGGTCAGCCCCACCAGGGTGGGCTCCCACGTGCTCAGCTCCCCTCACCCCAGTCCCATCCATGGGACCCTGGGCAAGAACCCAGCGGCGCCGTGAGCGAGAACACTCGTGAGCCAGCCCACTGCTCTGCTGCCGCCTAACCTTGGTCCACTCTCCACAGCCTCCAAGAAGCCGCCACCAGGGAGAAGGAACCCAGGGGAGCCCCTGACAGCTCATGAGGGGTCCGGGAGCCCAAGGCACCCTGAGGACAGCAGCCCCTCACCCAGCCACAGCAGCTGGGAGGAGACTTAGCGGGCTGCTCCCAGGGGCACCACAGCCTGCCCAGACGTGGCTCCCCACCTGATATCCAGCCCAGCAGAAGGCCCAGCACAGGGCAGGAGGGGACTGGCCCATGGCCACAGGGGCTGGGAAGTCCAAGAAGGGGTCTTTGGCTGGTTGTTTGAACCCCTCCATCTCTACCCTTCTCAGAAATGACCAGCTGGTCCTGCTGCTCCCCGCACAGCCTAGGAAGTAGGGTTCAGGGAGGCAGGGGTCACTCAGGCTCCAGCCCAGCCCAGCCCCCACCCCGGCTACTCATAGGCCACCCTTCCTGGGCAGTGTCCCCACCTCTCACCATCCCAGACTCCACTGGCATCCCTGACTCCCAGAGCCCTGCTGCCCAGCCACCCCTTCCCTGACCCAGCATGGAGCTTGAGCGGTGGTCTCAGGCGCCCCCTCGTGGAGCCCCACAAACACGCTGGGTGGGGAGGGCGTGGGGCATCACAGGTGTTGAAGAAGGCATGTTCCGCTGGCAGACTCAGGGCTCAGCTGGCTCTCCACCTGCCTTTGCAGGGGATTTGAGAGGCTCTGGAACTCATCCAGGCCTGGGGAACAAAACCAGCCCCATCTACAGAGGGGTACCATTGGGGAGGGCTGCAGGGAACAGAACAGAAAATGCACGCCAGCCTACAAAGAGTCCCCTCCTCACTGGCTGTTCCAGAGGCCCTGGTCCCACACCTGCCATTGCAGGCCCCAGGGCGCCCAGCCAGGACTGCCCCGCAAGCACTCAGGGATCTCCTGCTCCCTGCACCGGTCTCCCTTCAGGATGGTGTGTCTCAAAGCACCCTCTGCCAGAGGTTAAGCAGGTTCCCAGACCCACCGAATCCAGGTCTTGGGGGCAAGCCTGCACATGAAGTTAGAGAAATTTGAGAACTGCCCGTTGCAAGGCAAAAGCAGGAGACCCGTCGCTGACTGGGCTGGGTGAGGCCTGGGGCAAACTGGGAGCACAGGCCGGACCTCGGGAGCATGGCTCTGCCCTGCTCACTGTGGCCTGCCTGCCGGCCCAAAGGCCACAGGGGCTGAGTTTCCGAGAGGGAGGTTTAGGGGTGTGGATGTGCACATTTGTGTGTGTGTGTGTGTGTGTGTGTGTGTGTGTGTGTGTGTGCGAAACCTCCTGTTGTTCAAAGTGGCTTTGATTTTCCCAAAATCAAATAAAAGCTGTGTGCTCCATTCACATCCGACTTGTAGGCCAGGGCTGGCTCGGGGTACCCTGGGCGGAGTTGAGAAGCCACATGGGGTGGGAGCCCAGGGAGAGAGCACAACAGACCGTGCAAGAAGACCCCATTCCTGCCGGTGTTCCCCCGACGCCCTCCAGACGCCACTCAGTGCCAGCTGACAGAGGAGAAACACTCCAGGGTCCAGCTCTGCCACCATGCTGCAGACAAGCACGGGTGTGGAATGAGAAGCAGGGAGCAGGTAAGACCCCTCCCTCACTCTGTCCCTCCATGATCCCCTGGGCACAGCACCTCACGGCCCTGGCCTCACTCCCCCCTTACCGGAGCCCCACGAGGCACGCCCAGATAGCACCCCCAGTTTACAGACACAGCACTGAAGCTCAGGGAGGGTGGGAAACTCACCCAAGATCACCCCGCTGGCAGGCAGCCGCAGACGCTGAAGCTGTGGGGAGGCTCACCGCTCCCCAGGCGTCAGCAGGCATCAGGGGCAGGGGCGCCACCCCTGCACAGGGACTCCCCAGGAGGGGCCTTCAGAGGGCAGCCCTCCTGCCCATGAGCCCCTGGAGGCGCGTGATCAAGCCCCACTTTCTACCTGATGGGAAACCGTCCACACTCCCAGGCGCAGGAGAGGCTTTGAAGAGCGATCGGAAAGGGCAGAAGGCAGAGGGCAGAGGGCAGGCTGGACACGGGGTGGCCAGTGAAGAGGAGGAGGAGGGGCCGCGGCCACTGTGAGAGGGGTAGGGGGTCCGAGAGGGCAGCGGGCCATGCAGTGGCCTCACCTGGGACAGGAAGTGCTGTCTCATGGCGCTGGCCCTGCCCGCCCCACGCCCTCTCCAGGGCACAGAACCCCCGCGGGGCAAGGGCGTGTGCCAAGGGCGGCGCACCGAAGCCTTCTCCAGGCGGCGGGGGCGAACCCGCAGGCAAGTGCCCAGATCCGCGGCCTGCGGGTGCCCCTCGCGCAGCCAGGAGCCGCGGACCCAGGCAGACGGCCGGACGGGGCGCAAGAGTGGCCTGGAGGCGGCGGCAGGACCCTGTCCTGCAAAGACGCCGGCGGTTCTGGGCGTGCAGACCTCGCAGCCGAGCCGGAGCCGGAGCCGGCGGCTCTGAAGTCGGGGCACGGGGCACCGGGACGACCGTGAGGCGGAGGCTCCCCTCGCCGAGGCCAGTGCGCTCCCTGCCCGCACTGAGGGCCCCGCACCACCCCGCACGGCCCCCGTCTGCCTGCGAGTCCCGAGGCCCGCAGGTGCCTTTTCCTCGCAGACCCTCGGGGTCTCCAGTCCCTGAGGGAAGCGCCGGCCCCGCCCGCCTTCCCAGGGAGCCTTAGGGGCTCCCCGAGGGGACGGCCCTTTGCAACCTGAACGCCCCCGCCCCCGGCAGGCTTCAGCCCCGCGCACCCCGGCCGCCAGCACCCACCCGCACCCCACGGGAGACGTGCCTGGAGCCTAAAGACTCGGGCTCCACGGAGGCCGACCATGAACGCTACAGCCCCGCGAGGACAGCGGGGCGCCGGCAACCCTGTAGCCGCTGTTCCCGAGGCGGGGATTCGAACCCAGGTCAGCGCCGCCGCCGGGCCGACAGCCGGGCCCCGCGGGGCTTCTTCCCCCGCCCTCCAGCGAGGGGCTCCCGCTCCCTCCGGCCGCAGCAGCACCGCCTCTAGGACCCAGGGGAGCCGCGAGGACCAATGGGTAGGCGCGACAGCAAGATATTTGCATGTGGGCGCGCCTCGGCCAATGGGCGGCCAGCGCGGGCGCGTGCGCGCGGGTGGGGCGGTGGCGGCGGGCGGCGGGCGGGCTCAGTCGGAGGATGGCCGCGGCTGCGGCGGGTGGAGCCCCGGGCCCGTCACCGGGCCCGGCCCCCGG